AAGGTGACGACGATCTGATAAGATCTGAAAGAAGTTGTCGTGTGGATCTTCGCAGATGGGGAGCTAAATTCGACGCGAATTCACAACGCCCATATTTTGAAGGTCATGAAAGAGACGATGTGGTGAAACATCGTCATGAATTTATTAATCATTTTCTAACGCGTAAAGATTTTTAGTACACAATTACTGATGGTGAAACACCAATGTGGAATGTTCCAACCAGAAATCCTCATAGAATACTTCTCTGTAAGCAAAGCATTTCGAACTTTTTAAATACAGTTTATTTTTATGGTTTTCACTTTTGTCTTATCTAGTTCATGATGAATCAACATTTAGAAGTGGTGAAGTTAGTCCAAAACGGTGGTTTTTCCAAGAAAATACACCGTTTTTCTCAAAGGGACGCGGTCGTAGTCATATGGTTTCTGATTTTCTTGTTCAACATCCTAGTGGGCCACTTTTTGAACTTAGTGAAAATGAATGGAAACAAGCTGTTCGGAAATATCAATCATTAAGTGTTGCTGGGGACGTCAATTATCTTGATAGAACAGCAACAGCTAGTATTAATATTGGAACCGACGCGTATTTTGATAACGATACGATTCTAGAACAGTTTGAAAGACTGTTTCAGATGCTAGAATTCAAACAAGAATACAGGGATCATCAAATAGAAATTATCGTGGACAACGCAAGAACTCACACTGCCAAATCATATTCATTACAAGACTTCGGTAAAAATGTTGGCACTCGATGTCCTGTTGAACAAATCGAATATGTTGATGAAAATGGCGCAACAAAAGTTGTTGATTGTTATTTTAAAGGTGGAGAACACAAAGGTAAATCAAAAGGTTTAACTGAACTATGCAAAGACTTAGTGTGCAGTTGCCAGATAAAATCAAATTAGACGAAATTCGTGAAATACTTTCATCACATCGAGCTTTTCGAAATGTAAGTGAACATCATTCTAAGTTTTTTAAGCATTTTCGATCTTATGTCGTTTATTTTGCTCTTTAGGCTACAAAACTTGAGATGCTAGGAGCCAAATATAAAATTAACATTATATACTGTCCTAAGTATCATTGTGAACTAAATGCCATT